GGGGGGGGGGGGGGGTGGTGTGTGTGGAGAAGTTTGGCCCGTGTCTTCCACTGTCTTCCTGAATCAGGGCGTGGGGATAATGGAGTCTAAAACCTGAAAGAACAGAAAGCCCAAAATAGGTTTTCACAATTATCTAATTTGAGGAGTATTTTTCTTATTAAAAAAAAAAAAATTGTGATTTTCTGGGGGGAAAAAATGGAGGACTGTGCTTCCAACCAAAATAGTGAGAAAGGCCCGTGTGAAGGTGGGAGGCGCGTGGGGACGCAGGTGTGGTCACGGGGAAGGCAGGCTCGTCCCTTATCATACGTAGTGAGAGACGAGGCTTCCCTGTCACTTCGCAGAGTGAAGAGAAGGCTTTGAGGTATCAGCGACGTGGGCTACTGGGGAAAGGCAGACAGAATCTGTGTCCCCTGGACATCCAGGGGCTTCTCTTTGCTGTGGACTAGCCGGTCTCCTCCAGCTCCAAGAGGTCATCCACGTATTCCAGAACCTCTCCCTGTAAGAGACGACACGACACGTCTGTTAAGTGGGTTACCTGACTTTAGAAGTGCTGCTGAGCCAAGACTGTTTCTAAGAGGCCCAGCCCCCAGACTGTGGGCTGGACGCTGCCAGCTGCCTGTGTGGGCTCGGGCAGCCCCTCCCCCCTTGCCCTTGGGCCCAGAGGACCTGCCTTCTACCTGGGAGGGGACCTGGCTTCCACTCCTTGGGAGCTTGGAGTCAAGGGCTCTGCAACCCCCACAGATGGCCTGTGTGAGGGAGGGGGGCAGTCCAGCCACCCTCTGAAAGACCCGTTTAGAGCCCCCCTTTCTGGGCATCCCCCTTCTTGGTAGTTACTCCACAGGAGCACTCTCTGTCTGCTCCCTTTCTACATTGACCAGCAGACCATGAGCTTTTCAAGGACCAGGACCAGGACCCGGGTGACTTTCCTTCCCTAGAGCCTGGAATGGACATAGTCGGACACCTGCTACAGGAAGAGGGTATGTGTGCGTATCCCTGGTGTGGCTGAAGCAGTCACTCCGTTCACAGGACGGTCTCTTGGGTGTCGTGGGACCCGCCTGCCCACGGTTAGTACCAGGAGCGCGCCCGCTCCCCCCTTCTGCAATCAGCCTTAAGCCTCAATCTGATAGCCCAGCACACTTTCTCCTTTCCTCCCTGCATTGAATTCTCTCCCACGACACACCTGGGCCACCAGCTGAGGACACCCATTTTCTTCAGCGCCAAGAATGAGCGAATCACCAAGCAGGCCGAGTCTTACTCCCACGAGGGCCAGCCCCCCCCCCCCCCCCCCCCCCC